CGCTGGAGAGAGGGGTAAAGAGGAAGGTGGTGAGCCGTGACGTCTGAGAGGCTGTCGTCTCAACGGAGCTGTTAAAGGCTTTTCTTTTCTCAGACAAACTCCTGACAGTGGAGTCCAACTGTCTGTCCCACACAACGCCAGTGGACGTGTGTGTTGTGTGTCAAGACTAAATCTAGAAGTATAACACAAGGTGTCTCCACGACTGGACTGAGGGATGTGGACCAAAAATAAATAAATATATATATACATACACATATCAATATTTCCTCCCCAGACTTCACTCCAGACCGCCTGACGTGTCACTTCCTGTTTCCTTGCCTTCAGGTATCGAAGTCTGAAGCATTTCAACTACGACATTTGTCAGAGCTGCTTCTTCTCCGGGCGCACCGCCAAGGGCCACAAGCTCAACTACCCTATGGTGGAGTACTGCACACCGGTGAGGCTGCAACACACACACACACACACACACACACACACACACACACAGGGACATGTTGCTGAGCAGCTCATGTCATATCTCATGTCTTTTTCGTCAGCTCTTCCATTTTTCCCACAAATTTGTGCTTCTTAAAAATGAAGGACTTGTGAGTTGGTCTGAAACTGGACTTCTGAAATACATGTCCCCATGTAATAGTACTCTATACAGTATGTATACAGTACTCTAATATTCTGGTGGGCCACATAACATGATGTGGTGGGCCTTCATTGGTCCACGAGCCTTCTCTTTGACACCCTTGTCTTCTTTTTACTACTTTCTACTGTTTTATGAAACATTTCATTTGATTATAATTGATTTCTGCAAATGAGAAAATACACTCTTTGTTTCCCCTGAAAGTCTGTCTCTCATTGTTACATAGTTACACCCCCCCCTCTGCCCCCCACCCGTCTCACCCCCCTTCATTTCTAGTCCTTACAGGTTTCATTAGTTTTATTTACACATATAATTTGCAGTATTACGTGGATGATCTATCCAAACCTTTTACAACGATCGTCCTCCTCAGAAGAACTCAGTTCTTTTACACTTCCATTAACAAATGTTAAGACACTCAATATTTTTTTTAATGCCAAAATTGATTGTTTTTTAATTTTTACGTGGGCTCAGAGAGGAGAATATTAAAAAAGGAGGAGCAGGAAGAAATTGAACATCATTTTCTTTGTGAATTACTCGTGGGCCAACTCGGTGTTTTTTCTTTCTATCATATTCTCCCTGACTGTTATGTTGATGTTTTATTCCTTTTGTCTTCCATTTTTCATTTCTTTACAAATTGGATAGATATTGCTTTTGCAGGAGCCGCTGCAGGGAGCAGCGATCACTCCTGCGTCCTGAGTTCAGACGCCCAGCAGCTGACAAACACGGTCTAATCCTCGGCATCACTGCGGCAGCTCGCTCCTAAAGCTGTTGCTACAAGATTGCCGTTCAGCTGTAGGGAGTGTTAATCAGCCAGGCCTTTAACGATCCTCCACTTTATCACAAAGTCGGAAATCTGGAACGACTCGGGAGAAGGCTTTAATATTTCACCTTGACCTTGGTTGTTTCATCTGAAGTTGGAATTTTCAAATTAACACAATCGTTAAAGCTGAACTGAAGATTTCTTTTTTACTATGCAGAGGAGTAAAGCTCAGATCAATCGGGGTCTCCTCCAGACTCCTGTTAATGGTCTGGGGGCTTGTTTACGGCATGAACCACGCTGCGGTTATTAGCCGTGCTTTGGAATAATTTGTTTACATCCATGTACATCAGTCTGTCTCTCGTTTGCTCGGTAATTGCCCCGCACTTTCCTCAAGCACATAATCACAGTGACCTCCGCAGTCGGGCATTATGGGAAGCCATTAAAAAGCAGCTATGATTACTGATCAGCACAGTAATGGCTGCTGCACAGAAATGGTCTGTTTGATGGGGAATATGTCCGTGACAACCAACAGTTCCAACCTGTTTATTATCACCACTAAGAGATACTGCAGTATTTCTAAAGAGTATACGATGAAAATACGTCATTCGAATGACAACTTGGTGGAAGAGTCACAGATGGGGAACAGGGGCGAAATTTGTTATTATTTGAGTTTTGAAGCTACAGCTATGGATGTGTCAGTGTGGGCGGGGTTCACAGCAATATCTAAGCACGAAGGAGGAGGCCAGGGGGCGCTCTACTGCTTGACCTCAACTTTACCTTCACCATATTTTTTATTTTTCGTTTTTTTTTTTAATAAATGTTTTTATTTCTCATCATATTTTCTGCCCCCCCATGTGCGATCCAAACAGTATTTCCACTTAGTTTTTGAAAAATATTGAGTTAATATTGAATCATGATGTTACAAAAGCAGGTTTTTCGCAGCGTTCCAGACGCAGAGTGGCTCTTGTGAAACCCAGCGTGGCCTTAAATTACGTTTCTTCTTTCATCTCCGTCCTCCTCTCTCTTTTATGGCCTCACTATTGCTTTTTTAATTGGGTTTAGATTTTTATAAGGGTGCTGCTTTCATAGCTCCAGTGGACTTTGTCAGGGATATTGATCAAGACAAAGTTGCTGCGGCGCCGTATTGATGGCTGTAATTTCAATGTTTTTACCTTTCCTGAGAGGAGCCGCTGTTTGGGTTCAGCTCTGAGTCGTGTCTCTGGTGTCATTTTGTTGGAGTGACATTTGTTTTTTCTTCCGTCACTGTCAGCGGTTGGCAGACATCACTGCAAACTATGTTCTTTTATCTCCCAACGCTGGTTCTGTCTGTCGTCAAGAAATGTAACCAAAGTCGTCAACAGTGTAGAAATGTTTTTCACATCTTATTCTGCACTTGTTGTTATTATTGTTTTGTTTGGTTTTTTTTTTTGCGTTTGAACAGTTGTTACCAAAGACAGGTCACGTTGAGTTTGACAAAAACCTTTGACAATTAAGTTAGTGACGCTCCCCTTCTACCGTTAGCACTTATTCTTTGTCTACCACAGGCTGTAGAAAATGCTTATTTTATCACAAAAACCTGCAATAGACGGAAAAATCTGCAATACAAGAATACTTTTAATATATGTGTGTTTTTAATAATATTAATAACCCACGATGCACTGAGGGTGTGACATTACAAACCCCCTTTTTTTTGTTGAGTCTTGAACTACATTTTTCAACATTTGTTTTGAACAAAAAACTACTCACTTTGTTTAAAGTTTGCTGTATTGTGTTTGATGTATTGATTTCTGTTTCTGTCTGCTGTAAATCCAAAATATCATCACATAAAAAAAACCCATGTGCTGATTTTATGGTGTATTTTTTTTGTCCGTGTTTTCCTCTGTTGTTGTCCAGACTTTGTCTAGAACTTTTCTCCGCTCTCTGATGTTGTTGTTTGGTTCTGAGCTCAGAACACAGGGAGCAGCAGCAGCAGGGAACACCTCTGCTAAAAGTTTAATTAACAAAACACATTATCTGCTGAAATGCACCCTGGCTAATGTGCACACACACACACACACACACACACACACACACTTACACTGAGTAACGAGCCTCTCTGCCTCCTTCACAGACCACATCAGGGGAGGACATGCGTGACTTCACCAAAGTCCTGAAAAATAAATTCCGATCGAAGAAGTACTTTGCCAAACACCCACGTCTGGGTTACCTGCCGGTGCAGACCGTGTTGGAGGGAGACAACATGGAGACGTGAGTATCTCTGTCAACAGGAGGGAGTTTACTCCTCAAGTCAAATACATCTGTATTCATTTTTGTAAAAACATGAACAAAAATCAACAAGAAACCCCGGTAAAAAAGACCCACGAGGTCAAGTTTTTGTAAAAACATGAACAAAAATCAAAGAAGAATAGAAAGAAAAAGAAAAGAAAAGAAAAAAAAGTCAAAGTGAGCGTGACAAATTACAGGATTGTAAGAAAAAATGTCATTGATTTTGGGTTTTATCAGTCGGCAAATAGAAGTCAGCACAAGTTGAGTCTTTAGTGAAGTGGTGAGAAGTAACAAATGCAGAAGTTTTTATTTTTTATTTTTTTGTTAATCTCATAAATTCAGAGTATTTAAACTGGGAGTAACTTTTTTTTACTCCACAGACTTGGTTTTAAAAACTTTACAGCAGGAAAAAGTTGTAGACACTGCAAATCACAAAAGGCTAACGATGTATTTTGGATGCTAACTTTTACAACAAGCATCTTAACAACATTTTTTATAATTTCCTTGCCACTTGCTTGAACATCCCTCCAAATGTTGTTTTTTTTTTTTTTTTTTTTGCAGCGCTGTTTTTCATTTAGTTTCCGTGGTGTGAGCACCTCAGTGACAGCTCAGGAAATATTTATTTGTAATATTTTTTTACAGCTTGTCGCTGCTTTAATTGCAGCGCTGCTGTACTTCAGTGATACTGACGCTGACGCACTTGTGACTTTGTGCTGCATTTCTTCCACGTGACGTCCGTAGTCTCTATTCCCTGACATTTTCTCCAACGCAGTCACCTCTCAGATGGATTGCGCCCTCCCATTCACCCCTCCCACCTTCGGCACCGCTCCCCCGCCTCCCACTTCGCTTCGTTCCCACTTTGAGCCCTGTGAAAAATGACTCACGCAGAGCTGCCCGCCTGATAAATGCCCCTCAAAGTTGGAGAAATCGTGCGGTGATACATGGAGATCTTTGCAAAATATGGCAGATGGGAATGGAGATTCAGAGAAATTTAGGGCTATTTCATGTCATCATTTTCTCATCTCTTTCAGCGCGTTAGCTTCCTCCTGTGAGCCATGGGCTGTTCACACCTGCTGAGAGCCTCCACTCCAGGGACAGTTTTATGTGCTGCCGCCTCAGTGTGCTATTTTGTAGCCGTTGAGCTGTTTATAAGAGCCGACGCTGACGTATGATCAGTGTTACAGAATGCTCAGCACACGTTTTGCGATCATAGCTCACGGCCCGGAGCATCTTCATATCTCTGAGATGTAAAATGTGACGGCTTAAATTGAATTGGATTGGATTGGATTCCTCTGTGAAGGAAACGAATGAGTTTGGGATGAATGACACGGCGGCGTTAGTTGACACATTACATGTATTTGCGTCCACTTTTTATAAAGGATTTCACATGAAATTGGTAGCATCATTTTATCAGGTGAATTTTGTGTTTTTAAATACTTCTATTCTACATATAATGCAAAATGGCCTTCGTCCTGTCGCCTCTGGAGCCGCTGCCTTCTCATTCCTATGTTTACCAAAAGGGATTTTTCTCTTTGTTCGAACCCCCTCACCTACTCTCACTCACCGTAAGGTTCGCAATTTTCACGCAAGATGGGATTTTTAATTTGTAATTTGCCATGTTTGATTATTTCAGAGGAGCAGTCTAATGGTTTTCCATGCATTGTTAGTTTTCTTCATTTTTTTTTCTTTCCTGCCATAACCACAGTGTAGAACGGTCTGGAGACGGCCTCATGTGGTGTTTAATGACTCGGAAAATAAATAGGAAAAAGCGGCCTCTTTTTTATCTAAGAATAATTTATTATTTTTTTAAATATTTGAGATAAATACTAGTTATATATACATCTTTTACATTTACTGTGCTGCACATGAATATATATATATATATTTTTATATACTTGTATATATGTGCATGTTTTTTCACAGCTCCACTTTGACTAATGGAAAGAAAGCCTTTTAATTCTTAGTTGATTGACACACAGCCTCACCTCACCTGCTGAGTCACCTGACAAACAGGGTCTGTCAACACACAGACGGCCTGGTGAAAAAAGATTGAAAGTCCGAGCCTCGAGAAGTGACAGAGCGACTGCCACAGCATGATGAACTCCACTGAATTCAGAGACCATTCAGTCCCTAAGAACCACTCATCAAGAAAGAAAACCGCACACACACACACACCCTGTGAACACAGAGGTGAAACATAGACTTGTCAAACCCCTAAAGAGACGACAAAAGTCATCGTGCTGAGAAACCTTTCTGGCAATTTCTTCAGACACGTCATGGTCTGTTCTCACTTTTACAAAGTAGCCGGAGGAAAACACGACGTTCCAAGTGCCAAGTTTATTTTCATCCGCTTCTTTAAAAGCAACACCGCTCCGTGCAACTTGCCAGAGGCTGTTTATTGCTGAGCAGAGCCTCCCCCCCCCCTCCTTGTTTACTCCAAGCTGGAAAATCAGCCAGACATTGACTTATTGAAGACTTAGTTTATCTGTCATCATCTGAAGACGGTTGATGTGCTTGGAGGTTTCTGTCTGATTGGGTTTAATTTTACCCACTTCATTCATATTGATAGAATCAAGAGGTGGAGACGCAGAATAGTTTATTTTTCGCCTCTCATTTTGAAAACCGGCCTCTCTCTTCTCAGTGGTCTGATTATGCATTCAGCTTAAAATCACCGAATGCGTGGTTTCCATTTGAATCCAGGTCAGATCTGAGGTGTGAACAGAGACCGCAGAGGCTGCGTTGGCTTCAGGACAGATGGTTTTTTGGATGTTCTGTCTTCTTCAGACATGCTGCACAACACGAAGGTCGTCTGTACTGCCCTGTAATACTTCAGCAGACACATTGGTCGAACCCCAAACGCTCCCAAGGTCCAAACTGTCGGCATGTCTCTCCTCCTCCTCCCTCTTCTCCTCCCCTCTGCTGTACTTACATCTCCCTCAGTTATTTGTCTCTGCCTCACCCCTTACTACACCGTGAGTGCATCTGAAGGTCAATGTTATGTTTCTGTGTCTGGGCGGAGGACAGATTTGTCTGACAGAAAGACAATAGTCAGTTCAGAATACACTACAAATTCAGAAAAACAAATACTAAATCTGGCAAACACTTTTCTTTTTCTTTTTCCCCTTTGAAAGACTTTTTGTCAGCGTTAAATCTCTCGCTTATTGTTGAATGTTCCTCACAGTGACAAGTGTGACTGTGCTGGCCGCTCGGCCTCTTAGAAAGCACCAGGCTTTAATGTGAGAACAGAAGAAGTCGGAAGACTCTTCTGCTTCAGCTGATATCCAGCCAGCTCCTGTCTGGACTCCTCCACAAAGACAAAACATTTTTTGTCCTGAAGAGCGAAAGCAATTACCGCAGAATGGAAACCAGAAAATTTGAAAGAAAATAAAGCCTCACCATCCAAAAACCAACACCAGTCACCTCATTTTCTGATTTTTTCATGCCGTGTCTCCGTTGTCCTTTTAGAACATAATATAGTCTTTGGCAGAAAATGGGTTTTTACTATTTTGGTAAATCCTGCAGGAAACGAATGTGAAAGGAAGAGATTTGGTCCAAATGATTCTGCACGCATGAAGAAATGTAGAAAATGACACGCAAGAAGTGCAGAGTGGACTACCAGGAAGACATTATCATTATTTTGAAGGGTATCCTGACTTGCAGAAATAAAACGGAAATAATTTGTCGGTTGTGTTTTCTCCCAGTACAAAATGACCACCTGGTACTAATAGAACCAGGGTTGGTCAGTGTTGGTCAGGGTTGGTCAGGGATGGTCAGTGTTGGTCAGTGTTGGTCAGGGATGGGTTAGACAGACTGATCTTTGGGACCAGTCTGTCTCGAGGCAGGTCTAACATGTGGTGTCATACTCTGACGTGTTTCCTCTGTGTACTGTGTCCTGCCCGTCAGCAGACCCACTGACCCTCACCCTTCAGGTCTCCAGGTCTTGTTTCTGACCCCATAAGTTGAAAAACTGACCCTCAACTTGTCCCTTGTGGTACCTTCCACTCCCCCGCCCCTCCTTCTCCTCCAATTCTTTTACAGCCCTGTGACACTCATCAGCATGTGTCCGGAGCAGTATGAGTGAGTATCCACGCCACCGGACCCGACAGCTCGTCTCCAGACTGGAATGCTTTCTTTAAAAACACACACACACTTCCTCCTCTCCTTCACTCGTCTCCTCCATCCTCACTCAGACTAAACCACGACTGCACTGCATGTTGCCTGCCTGATCGCCTCAACCACTGGCTGAACATGCCTCCGACTCACCCTCTGTCTCCTCAGCCCTCACCTCTCTCCCCACTCTAGACCATCCAGCTAGCCGTCGGTGGCTGCCCACGAACCCGTGACCCTGCTCCTCCTGTAGATCAGCTCTCCTTATCTCTCTCTCTCTGTCTACCACCGTCTGATTTGTTTTCTAGGTGACGTTGTGAAGGCCCATTAGGCTGTGTGCTGCGATTGCTTGTAAATCTGACGGTTAATGAGATTGCTGTGAGCATGAGGAATCTCATTCATCTCCATAACCACCCCCTCCTCACCGCTCCTCCCCTCTCCCCCCTCTTCATTTCCAGGCTGTCCCAGTCACCTCAGTTCTCTCATGATGACACCCATTCCAGGATAGAACAGTACGCCAGCAGGTAGGAGTCACATCCACTCTCCTCCATGGCATTCTGTCACTCTGCAGTCTCTGCATGACATCGTTCCACGCTTTTTAATGGAGAACTTTGTGGAAAAAGGTCACCAACAGTGACCCTCAAATGACCTTTTGTTCATCAAAAAAAATAAAAATTGGTTGAACTCTAGCTCGCCTCCTGTGGGCTTTACCACCTATTGCATCATACAATGACATTTCTGTTCCCTGTGGTCAATGATGACATCGTACTTGACATAACTTTTCTTAACTCCCATTAAGACAAGAGTTTTTGCATGTATTTGTTTTGGTTGAAACAAAAACAACATTTATAGAGAATTTTAATTTTCTCCTGAAAAAAAAACGAGCAAAAAGCAGTTGGAATAGAATCAGTTTGTGTTCCAGTTTATCACAGAGAACACATTACTGTGGAGAAAAAAGGAAAGGAAATAAAAACACTCACTGATGACGTACGGAGAAATCCTTCCACACCAGACAATAAAATAAAATAACACAAACATAAGTATAACAAATGGACCTGAACCACCATTTATTTGCTCTCTGTGCAGGAGACAAAACAGACCATAAATCAACAACGCATTATGGTTTCCTAAAATATAAGACGGTTTTAAAACTTGGACACAAAATGTAACCGTCTGCTTCGTTAGTGATGTAAAACATGAGTCAACTTCACGACGACTTTGACACCAATTTGTATGTTAGACTCTGGCCTGGCCAATCAGGGTTAATCTCTATCAGTCCAACCCTCGTCCTCTCCGAGGTGGACAGTGGACGTTCCTCTGATGCGGCGCGGCTCTCTCCTGATGTAACCTTCGTTGGTCACATGTCGTTAACCTCTGCACACAGCACTATTTTATCAACGTTGACACAAACATGAGCCGCGTGAATCTCAATTCTGACCCAACTGTAGACGCTGACACGGTAGATTACGACAGTGTCTGCTGGATTGACACGGAGGATACGTACGTGGGATATTGAAAATTTAACTGATGAAATTCAGAGTTAATCTTACGCCGCGTGGCGTCGACTCAATTTCAGCTGCGTTTCATCCTGCTGGAGCAAGTGGAACGCATCATTAATGTGCTGAACGACCCCGCTGTCGCCGTGTAACAGCTCAAATTAATACAGGCTTTGATCAGGGAACCAGACTCATTAGCGTGAGCAGGAAAAAAAAGTCCTGGTGCAGACACAGTCACGCCGCTCTGATGAACACGTGTCTGGGAAGTGTGTGTTTGTGCACTTTACTAAAACATCTGCCTTTGTTTGTTATTTAATCCTTGGAGAGGCTTTTCATAATAATCTATTTGAACATTAGCATTTTAGTCAAATGATGACTTTTTATCATGTCAGTATTTCATCTTTTGGCTTCTTCTTCTTCTTCTTCCTCAGATTGGCCCAGATGGAGCGCTCCAATGGTTCTCTGCCCACAGACAGCAGCTCAGCTACAGGAAGCATGTAAGTTATCCATTTTTACACACGGTAATCCAACCAAAACAACAACAACATCCACACGTGCCTGTTTTGGACAGCGCCATCTTCTGCTGACACAGGAAACGTGTTTACACTGACAAACACCTGCACTGGTCCCAGTCAGACTCCAGTCCAGATTAGAACCACTCTCTGCAGACGGTTAACAGCTGTTTGCCTTCCCTGTGCAGCTGTGCACTTTTTTTTTCAAAAACTCTAGGGATTCTTAAAATACCAACAGACATTTAGTTGTTTACACAGAATTCTATATTCATTGGTTTTCTCTCACTTTTCTTCCTCTTCTTCTAAATCAAAAGTTCATCTGTTTACTGATGATGTGGTCATTTCTGTAGTTCTTCCTTCAAGTTTCCGACCATTTTGTTTTTGTTGTGTTCATTTTATAATTTGGATTATCATAAACATTATAATTTATTTTGGTGTAAAGAGCTTAATCTTGGTTGGTGTCACTGTTGTTGCGCCCCCTATTGGTGCACCCGCTTTCACTTTATTATTTTGAGAAATAAGTGGGATCAAACTCGTAGCCATCTAGTGGCGGATGAGGGTCCTGCCCCTGTACAACTTTCTGCCCTTGTGGATACCAGTCTATGGGATTTTCTAAATTCCTCAACCAGAAAAGTAGAACTCTGGGCTCCAGATGTACAGAGTGAAAAGGGAGAGACAGTGGGATGTGGTGTGATTCAACAGCAAGGGTGAAAGAGTGAATGGGTTGAAGTGCCAACAATGAGCAGAGAGAGTGATTGGGTTCAGGATAATACCTACTTATCTTTGATGACAGGAGATGTGAACATGGCAGAGTTGTTAAAAAGGAGGAAATCAGCGTGTGAAGGGCTGACGACGAGCGTCAGGTTCAGGAGTGATAACCTGCTGTGTGTGTGTGTGTGTGCGTGAAGGCATGTGCACGTCTCACAGGTCATTCAAGTCGACGGGTGCATTAGTTCTTTTTCCCAGCCTCAGATCCTAATCTCAGGAATGAGCTGTTTTTGGTCTGAATCCCTCTGAGAGCGTGGGGAGAAGAACATGTGCACAGACAGAAACAGGTCGGCTCCCTGTCTCCTGGAAATGATGCAAACCAAATATGTAGACAATTCTGGTTGGATCAGTGGATCAGTGTCAGGTTGTCTTTGACCAGCCCCTAATCTGCATGCTGATGTGTCTCTGGAAAAGACTCTCAACCTCAAGTTGACAGTTACATCCAGCTAAGCAGCGGCCACAGTCAGCTTGAGTGCTGGATCCTCATTTTTGGAGCATTTTGTGTAAAAAAAAAAGAAAAGAAAAAAAAAGAAAGTGATGCGGTGTAGAATCAGTGTCCAACATTTCATGCAGATTATCCGTCCCTAAAGAAGAGTCCAGCTGAATGACAGTAAAATGTCCCAGATTTGAAGAGTGTGCGTAAAATGTCAACCTGGGATTTGGGATGAAAGGATTTACCGCCCACCAGTGGAAAGGTCAATCATTTTAGTTCATTTAAACCAAATCCTCCGTCTTTAGAGCAAAAATCTTTCTAATATGCATTAATGCATGATTTCTTCTCAGAAACAGAGGTTTTCAGATGGGTTTTTTTTTTTTTTTGCTTACTCAAAGACAACAAAATCTGAAGAGAAGTTTTTTTCAATCTCAAAACATTCTCATCACTTTATCCCCACTTCTCCTCCTCCTCCTCACACTTTTGTGCTCTGTACTGGGTCTTTGTTACGAAGCAATTATTTTGTCCAACACTATCGCTCTCGCACAGGAGTGTGTGTGTGTGTGTGGAGCGCTAATGTACTGATGAAGACGATGATGTGAGGAAGGCTAATGTGTTTAGCAGCAGAGAGTGAAAAAAACAGGATAAAACTCTGCCTTTTCTGTTGTGAATGTCATTACTTTACTTTAGCAGCATTAGCATCAATGTGGGCAGGAGGATGAAAAAACAACACAGCTATTATCTAAACAACAGAAGTGACTCACAGCTCTGTCATGAAAAAAAGATACTTTATGTTGACATTTTTCACCGTTCAGCACCAGGATTTTTTAGATTAGCCCAGAAACAACTGAAGGTGAGCGGACAACATCCAACAACTGAGATAAACAAGACTGATAGATATTAAATATAACAAAAACTCTACATAAAATAAAATATATATACGGTATACTGTATATATTCATATATGCATATATATGTATGTAATACATACATGTGCATATATAATAATTTATATTTTTTATGAAATATTTTTCTCCTTGTCCCTGGCTGTAATCACACTTTGTTTTTTGTTTTTTGTTTTTTTTCCAACTCTACTCCTTCCGTTGTTTACAAGATCCCATGCTCTCACCCAAAAATGGTCCGTCGTAGTGAAGGGAGAAGCAGACGGTGTCTTCTTGGCAACGCTGGGCTCCACAGTGTAATATGGCTGACTGCATTGGCCAATTACACGCATGTTTGGCTTTTGGCTTGTTTTTCTCCTCATATCTCAAAGCCTGCAAACACTGACGTGGCCTCACTGCTGGCTCTGCAGTGATATCAATAATGACACTGTGTGTGAACGTGTGTGTGTGTGTGTGTGTGGCCTCAGTGCATCCTTTATTTTTGTCCTGCTTTGTTTCTTCTTTTTTATTTAAATCAAAAAAGTATCCTTAATTAAAGTCATCGTCCCCTGTTTTTCCTGCGAGCCTCCAGTTGAACAACAGCTGCAGGCTGAGAATACTGGCTTCTTTTTCTCACCCCTTTTTTCTCATTTTGCTGTATCCAGTACTCACCCCTGGTCTTTCACATCTCACCCCTTTAATCCCGGCCCGTTCTTTCTCACAGTGTTTTCTTCATCTTTCACCCTTTTTACTTTTAGAGTTTTTTTTTTTTTTTTTCATTTTTGTTCCCATTTTTTCTTTCTTTTTCTTTTTTCTTTCACCCTTTCATTTTTTGAAGGTTTTACCTCTGGGTCCAGCCAACCTTCAGATTAAACACTAAGCACTGAGGTAAACAGTGAAATATTGTCTTTGAAGCTCGGCATCATAAACAATACATTTCATAATGTTCGGCACCTCTGCACAGAGAAGGGCTTTAATATCTCACCGTGGGGAAGAAATGAAAGACTTCCTGCTCCTGTCAGCCCGTCAATATAAAAGAAAATGTTTTGGGAAATCTGTCTTTATCTTCTCTCTGATATTTGGGTTTTTGTTTCTCCTTTTTCTCTTTTTTTTCGTCTTTGCCTCTTTCCTCTGAGGTCTGCTACACAGCTGATGTTCGGATAAGAGCTGTAAACATTCTCATTGCAATGTCCTCCTCCAGTCTGGACCAGATGGGACGTTCAGATTCATATTTATTTCATATATCACTGAAACCAGGGCTGAAACAGCCACCATCAATTCTCTAGACTTCTTCCTGTTTGTCTTGGTCCACGGAATACATTCTTAAGGACATTAACCAATGGAAAATGAAAAAAAAAGAAAGAAAAAGAAATAGCGCCATCCAGAGACAGCTTCAGTTTTATTTATATAAAAAAACTACTTGTCAATAAAAGTCAGGACGACCTAAAAATGTTCAAAATGTTTGTGGCCGTATCTCTCCCTAGAGGCCAAGATTCTTTGAAAAGTCAACACTAACTACTAGAAATATACATATATATACGATAAGATTAGCTCAGGTATCAGTGCTTGGATTCAAAAAATTAGACTGTTGTCATCTAGTCCTGCATTACTCCCT